TTTGAAGTTTTTAAATATTGAAATAAAACATTTCATATCTTGCTTTAGTTACCACAATCCACTAGTTAATATTGTAGATATGAATGCTTTCTCAGCCACAAATAAAAATTAAACTTAGCAGTTATTAAAAAACAAAATTAAAGCTCGTTAAAAAACAATTAAAATAAATATGTATTTTGTATATTAGAAAATAAGTACATGTGTATGTATATCGCACATTTCTTTCTTTCTGGAATTTCCTCTATTAAGTTTCACTTCTTCCGCGCGTAGGGACAACACGCACTGAGTTTTTTTTATTAAACATTTTCGTAATTTATCGAAGTATCGATTTTATAATAAAAAGCGCTGCAGGCGAAAATTTGTAATAAAAAATCGATATATGTATGTATATGGAAGTATATTAAAAAAAGAAACAATAAAAACGGAACTAATACGGTTTTTATGTATATTTTATAGTTTCGAGAAGCTTTGTAAAAGGGTCTTCCCTGTTTTTTAGAATGGCTTTACGCCATAAGAATTCCACTACTGAGTCTGCGAAATGTGATCGGTTGTTATAATTATCTTTAGAAAAGAACCTTTTTACCACTCTCCACGGAGATTCTATTCTCTGGGTATGGGTCCCATATGGCGCCACAAACGGGTTGTCCGGATCGCTGTGGTTTACCTTCTGGTGCTCATACCCGAAATCCGGCAGGCAATCGTACGCCCTCCAAAAGTCGGTACGTATGATAGACCCCTCCACTACGTGCTTTTGAATTAGAGGTATGAGCACCTCAGCAGACCGCACGTTTTCCGGACACACCACCAAGCGAAGATCTTCGCTGCCGTCTTCAATCAAGGACCCAACTCAACTCTCCTCCCTAAAGAAATAAAAGCAAATAAAATGGAAATTGAAAGTATTTAATAAAAATAATCCACCTATTTAAATTAATATTACCTTTATTAAATTTTCTTTTGCCAAATTTACTTTCGTCTATTTGGACGACTTTTCCCGGACCACCAATTTTGCCTGCACTTTGCTGCTGGTCTAGCTGGTACAAAACTATTGTCTCGCGACAATAGCTGTTCCAGTCAGTAATTGTCCGACTCGATAAGGGACCTCCAACATAGTTTTCGAGCCGCACCGTATGGTGGCTGAAGCGTTGCGCAAAACAATATGTCATATAGAATATATGGGGCAGCGATACATGAGCATTTTCGAACCATGTTCCCTTGGCCCGGGAAACCGATTTGGCGACATTGGCGTCCTATGCCTCGAGCATAGTTTGCTGCGCAAAAGCAGGCCGTTCTCCTCAGCAAATGCAATACATTGCGCAACGGTGCTAAGCCTGTCCCCAAGTTTGCGCAAATTCCACATCGCCTAATATTCTTCTGAGGTAAGCAGCTTGGGTCTTGCTGCCCCTGCGCTTGTCGACGGCTCATCAGAATCTGCAAAAATAATATGGAATATATTGAAATAAATGCAAGGAAAAGAAAATTTACCATACTCCGTATCACTCATCTCAAGAAATTTAATTATATCTTTTAATAGAAACTATATAAAAACACTGAAGAGACGCGAAAAAACTCAATTGTAGCTTCTTCATGGGAAAAAAGAAGAAGATAATAAAACAAGTACCGTTAGAACACGGTTGCCGTATAAATATGACAATTTTACGCACAACTCTTTTTAGTGTTGGGCGCGTTTTAATAAAATCCCTTAACAGTGGCTAATACGGTTTATAGGTGTATTTTATAGCGTCGAGAAGTATGGCACACATTTGCTCTTACTGTCGGCCATTGTTATTTCTGTTTGTTTGTGAAAAGTGCTGAAACGCGTGAACGAATTTATAAACGCGTTTTACTTAATGAATTGGTGAATATATATACATTAAAAGTATAAAATACGCACGTGAACATTCAAAATATATCTAGTATATCACACAAAATATAAGTGAAAAGTGGTATTTAGTACAAAAATGTGGGGGTGGTAGTGAAGAATATTTAACAACAAATTGCTTAAATACTTAGCAACTACTTTGTGAGAGTGATATATTAATGTAGAGAAAGCCTCCCCCAACATCCTGACCAAGTTTCATGGCGAAATTCCAAATACTTTCGCTGAAATCTCGATTGGTTCCGTTTTGGAAAGCCAACCGTTTCTTAACAGAAAAGAATCACTATTTTGCTATTTTGGTTTTGTTCTTAACATGTGTTGCAGACATCTAAACTAAAAAAAATTCGAATGTTTTAAATTTTATGCAAAATCAAAAGAATAACAATTTCACTAAAAACAATTTTTTGGTGAAACAATGTATGTGGGCCAATCCTTGCAAAATTTACACAAAAAATTTTTTTGCGCTCACTTTATTTTTCTTTGCATTCTTTGGGTAAAAATATGATACATGTATTTTTTTTTATTTTCATTTGAACATACCGTTTACGAGATATATTTTTTTGAATTTTAAGCATGCCAAAAAAGGACTTTTTAATATATGCTTCCGCACAAACAAGCATTTTAATAAAAAACAAACTTAATCATCGTACCATTTATGACTTTTTCTTGGCTTTCATATGAGGATTACGAGAAGTCGATACAATTATTTTTTAATACAAAAAATTTGATATTAAAAAAATAATAACAAATAAAGTTTTTTTTCAAATTTAGTAATGATTTTTTTTTTAATTTTTTTACTGAAAACTGTTCTTCAAATACTTAAGTAGAACCTGAAAAAATTGCAGAATGGGTAGTACAAAATTACGCTTGTAATCAAGTTTTAAACAACTGCGAAAGCGCTAAAAAACTCGCTCTCTCCTTGGCGTGCAACATTTTTCTATGTACCTACTCGTAAGTATAACAGGCTGCATGCTCGCAGCTGAATTCCTTCAGCATTAAAAGACAAGTTCTGAATGTATGATTTTTATTAGGGTTCTAATTACGCCCTTCTACAATAATTTTCAGGTTCTACTTAAGTATTTGAAGAACAGTTTTCAATAAAAAAATTAAAAAAAAATCATTACTAAATTTGAAAAAAAAACTTTATTTGTTATAATTTTTTTAATATCTAATTTTTTGTATTAAAAAATAATTGTATCGACTTCTCGTAATCCTCATATGAAAGCCAAGAAAAAGTCATAAATGGTACGATGATTAAGTTTGTTTTTTATTAAAATGCTTGTTTGCGCGGAAGCATATATTAAAAAGCCTTTTTTTGGCATGCTTAAAATTCAAAAATATATCTCGTAAACGGTATGTGTCAAATGAAAATAAAAAATACGTGTATCATATTTTTACCCAAAGAATTAAAAGAAAAATAATTTGAGCGGAAACAAATTTTTAGTGTAAATTTTACATGGATTGGCCCATGTACATATAGGCTGACTTTCAAAACGTATCGCCATTTTATATGAATTTTTCGTTTTTTTTTGAGAGCTCTTAAAAGTTTAACTGCCAGAGAACTTAGATAGATAGAGAAGGTGCAAACTGAAAGTGGAAACTATTCGCGGACGAAAAATTAACAGCGTTAGAAAAGTTCAAGTCGGAATGTAAAAATTCTGTTGAATTTAATGTTGATAACATAATACAACGTTGAGCAACATGAAATGTGATGTTCTTTGTGAGCAAATAAACGAAAATATGGTAAATCTTCACATAATTTTCATTAATTTGTAATTTTTGTTAAATTTTTTATCTTGTTCTCCTTTTATGAAGATGCAAATACAATTTAATGATAGTTTGGCATAAAGTTTACACACATATGTACATGCATACATATACTGGCAATCAAAAGTGAGTGCATGGTGTTTTTTGCTTAATATTTGCAATGTTTTTCAATTAATTTTTTCTATTATCTTTTTATAAAAATGTGGTTCATGCTTTAATCAAAACTATACAAGTCAAACTTTCAAACTTTACACAGAACATAGAAAAGTTCAACGAATTCTCGTCTAAATTTTGACCTGTTTAATCTGTGTTTTTAGAAAAATTTTGAGTACGCAGATAGATCGGTTTTTTAATTCTAGTGGAACAAGATCAAGTTTTAAGCGGCTAAAAAATCCGGTTGATTTTTAATGATTATTTATTGCTGACGGCTTTTTGCACTTTTTACCAAATAAAAGTGAATTTCTTGTAGAATAAAATGCGCATGACCGTTTGCAAACAAATAAAAAAAAATTATCGCTATTTTTTACAAATTGCACTTGCTATATTCATAAAACCGCAATTCGAAAATAACATAAAAGTTTAACTTAAAAACATTGCAAATATTAAACAAAAAACAGGATGCACTCACTTTGCCAGTGTACATACATATTTGTGTTTAAAATTAACTACTTATGAAATAATTTTTGTGGCACGAACATATACATACTTGCGCTTTCTAAAAATGGGAATAAAAATTGGATTCGCATAAAATTTTAATTCCAATAACTAATATTTTAGTGAAAACATTTACAATAAAGCTTTCAGTAACTTTTGGCAAATTTGAGCGATTATGTGAAATTATGCATGCGTTTGTAGCTACATATCCATTTATATTATTTTAAATAAAGCTAATAGTAAAATTTAAAATCGAATATGGATATGACAATTAAAAAAAAAAAAAAAAATTTATTACTTGGTCCGTCCGGGATTTGAACCAACACAAACGGCGAGACGCCAAAAAGCTGCATCGCCTCTAGCGTACATGCCACGGTACATTACTGAAACGGCAATCTCTAAATCACTACATATATGAAATTTTTCATTCATCCAAAAAGACAAACGCATAAATATGTGTGCATTTATAAATGTAAATATGGGCATAAATATGTACGATTGTTCTGCTTTCGTCTTCCCCTCGCCGTCATCCAACCACAGACAAATTATTAAATTTCTGCGAATTGCCACGACGCCACCAAAATTAACTCTTGGTTGACGAAATATTTAGGTTTTCGCATAAGTTTACATTTAATAAAGCCATACTCGTACATTTTATATGCAGAATAATATTAATTAATTTAAAATTCTGCATGTAACCATGTTCTCGACGATACATGTAACTTTCATAAAGATTAAACATAAAAAATGGGCTTCATTAACAGTTGCAACCAGCTGAAACCAAAAAAACTCTGTCCGCTAAAATGGGTTAAAAGCAAACTGGAATTGACATTTTTTACACGCATACATGCATACATTCATATATGGATAAAAAATATTAAAAATCGTCTGTGCATATATGTAAATATATTTTTATAAACGCTTTGAAGTATAACAATTTTTAAAATTAAAAAATAAATAAATGATTTTTTTTTGCATTTATACAAATGGTGTTCAAGGCACATTGACCCACCTGTACAAAAATCGTGGCGCGTCATGGACAAAAATTTTACAATTTCGGACCGAAAAATGTGAAAACGAGCTAAGTTGCCACGTTACATTTGTGAACTTCCGATAAAACCACATATGTTTGTGATTTTAGAAGTTTTGATTTTATTAAAAAAAATTAATGTATTTTCCTGCAGACAACGTAAAATTTTATTTAAAATTTATTAAAATTACACCTTAAAATACTAGTTAGTGGTTGAAATATTGGAAGGGAATAGAGAAATTGAGTGTTTTGTTAAAAACTACCAAAAATTACCAAAATTCGAGATAACTTATTTTACTGGATATAGAGAAATAATTGCCACTTTTCACTTGGCTGGCCGAGATTTCTTCAATTTTACATTTTAGAATTTTTGTGTCGGATTGATAAAGTTGCGCTTGACGGTGTTGAATTTGCGGGGAGATGTGCTGCGGCTGTTTTTATGAATGAATTTACTTGGCCTTGAGAAATATGCGAATGCGTTTATGAATAAAATAGTTATTGTTGTATTTGAGTATACGTGTAATTATGTATGTATATATGTGCGTAGTATTTAAGCAGCAATATGCACATATGTATGTATGTACTTATATATGCATGTAAAAACGTTGTCAATTAATGTAGCATGTACATATAGATATATGTATGCGTGGGAAATGCAATTTCATTAGACTCCAAAACTATTGGGGCATTTTCGTAGACGAAATAAAGTCGACTCTTAAGTTAAAGTTTGTCAGCCCCAAATAAGAAGAAAGTTAGTCTGTACATACATATATGTAATATTATGTGCATGTCCAAGAACGTTATCAATAAATGATTTTGAAGTATGTGTATGGGGTACATATGTATATATGTATGTAAGTACATATATACATACATACATTCAGATGCGATCAACTAATTAGCAACGAAATTCAATATGA